GTCCATCCGTCCAGCCGTCCACCCGCGAGCGCCAAGGTATGCATGCATTCGTCCGGGCGCACACCTCATATCTACATACCTAGCCTACCTACCTACCTACCTACCTACCTACCTACCTACCTGCCTACCTGCTTGCCTGCCTACCCAACCTGCCTACTTACCTACCTGCCTACCTACCTACCTACCTACCTACCTACCTACCTACCTACCTACCTACCTACCTTCCTACCTTCTTACCTACCAGAAGCCAATCCGCATGCATTTTGCTTGCGAAGTCGCTTCAAAAAGCGTGCTTTCCATCCTGAGCATCTTGAGTCACGTAAACCTCCCACTCCTTTCCGAGACGGTCGATCTTGGTCTGCTCAATTCCGCGAGGCATTGGGAAGGGCGGGGTGGATTGGGCGACGCAGCCCATAATTACTCTTCTGGGGCTTGAGACTATGAAGCTTGCCACTGTTCCGTTTGAAGTTTTCTGGTTTGGAAGTGTTTGTCGGAATATTAGCACGAGAGTGGCCCCAACACCTTAGATCATAACAAACACGGATTTCGTGTTCGATCCGTGCATATGCCGGTGGTATACACGCAGCCTCGCTTGCTCGCCTTTGCACTCCCCACAATCGTCAATCTCTCTCCCCCCTCTTAGCGTGCTTTTGCTCTCCTGCCGGCAAAAAGCAGCATGTTTGACACAGGATCCCGAACACGCCGTACATGGTCCAGCTGCTTCGACCGAGCGTGGAGGGTGCCCTGATTCTGATCTCGACGCTCCCTGGACGAAGTTGTCAAGGAACCTTCGGCCTTGGTTGTGAAGAGGGAGAAAACTCAATCGACAGCCTTCGGGGCACCTTGGGCAATAAACTTATCATACTGTACGATTTTTTGCCAGATGCAAACACCTCCGAGCCATGTATTGTGGTGCAGAGTTTCAGGCAGCTCATGGAGGGGAGAGGACGGGAGCTCCGGTGAGTCAATTAATATGCGACGTCCCAAGCCGCGGCACGCCGAGGTCGGTCCGTATCTTCAATGATACAACAGTTAACTTGGGATTGCGCTTCGGCAATCAGCATGCGCTCCTTGGTTACGCAAAGTCAGAGGCAGACCTTTTCATGGGCTGGGCGTAAGGGTATCAGAAAAGCTCTGCTGTATGGCTCGCAGGTAATTGTTGCAATTTATCGCTTTTCGCTGCCGTTGTGCCCTCTTAGTCAAAACAGGATAATACCGCCGTGAGTAATGCATGCTTACAGCATCCAGTCCAGGCTGTGGACGAGCTGCGCTCAGAGGAAGTTGCTGTTCGATCAGCTGCTTCAAGATCATGATCAGAAGGTGAACGAGGTTAAACACCCAGGCCCCTTCAGTGTACCCAATGGGTGCTTGTCAGGAGGCTAAACACGGACCTCCAAGAGTACTGACTCCTCTTATGGGCGTCCTGCAACGGGGAGTGCTGTCGCGAAGCAGTATTGATGGGGACAGCAGAAAAAACACAATCTGAGCAGTCTTGGACCCGTACGCTTTACCCTTGAAGTGGACAGGTGCTGTTCCCTGCTGGCTGATGCCGCGAGGCTTCGTAAGCCCGCCCCTAGTGCCGCCTACGAAGCCGGAGAGTGAGTCGGAGGATGAGTCGGACGAAGACGAGCTTAGGGAAGAGGCCTGGGGCCTGGGCGCTGGGCACTGCCGCATGCATTCGGCGAACAAGCGGGGCTTTTTTCAGCACCAGCGGGGACTGTTGCAATGGCCTTGAGCAGCTTCAGACCGCACCCTTCTTTCCTGTAACTTGTTACTTTGTTTGCAAGCTGCGAGGACATGAATTGGGAGATGCGCCTGTCTTCGGGTTCGAGCGTGTGGAAGAGGGCCAAGTTGACGCCACTCGACTTTCAAGGAGTCCTTTTCTGGGCATCCCGACCGGCCCTACCCAAAACTGTTGGCCAGGCATGCTTGCAAGTTCTCCAGCATCCAGCTCGGGCACCTTGCCTGCGATTCTGGCTCCACTCGTACCCCTGTGCCATTTCGTTTTCATGCAGGTCGAGAGTTTTAGCTTCGGCTTGCTGGTGCTTTCCATCTTGCTCAGTATTCCTTGGAGTTCCTGCTAATGCTCCGTACAGAAACACCGTGCCCCTGTTCTGGCAGTATCGAGCTTTCCAGCTCCGAGGCCTCAGCCCAAGTTGAGTAAGTTGAAGGGAAATCTCCTGCATACGGCTTATAGCTTAGTCGTGATTACACGCTGCGAAAAACATAGCGACAAGTCGCAATTAATTACCTTTTTGCCGAAGGGCATGCTGCAGTTGGAGGGTTGTAGGATCTGTGCCAGACCTCCCTGCAGTGCGCACGCGTGCGCACTCGTCACAACATGGCCGTGCAATCCCGCGAATTTCTGGGTTATGTTCCCTGTGATATTAATGTCAGCCATTGCGGCTTGCATGCCCAAACGTCAATAGCCTTCGCAGGCTTGATGTGATGCGCGGAACCCATCCCTGCTGTGTCTGAAGACCTGCTGGGCTCACCTCGGCTCAGAAGGATTTGAGCCCTCGAAGTATCCAGAAGCCATCAGCTCACATTGATCTTGCCGAGGTCCGAGAGCGAGAAATTTTCTGTCCTCGCTGTGTGCGACTACGAAGTCTCCGCCCCCCCAGCTGCAGTGATCCTTGGTCAGACACTCTTTCAGCGATGGCACGGGTCGCGTGCTGGCATTGCAAAGTCAGTGGTGGCATGAGCTAAATAGGATTCGAAGAGGGTATCGTTGGCAGGAGTTGCGCAATAAGCGGTAGTGGTGATTGCGATACCTGTGCTGGCGGTTACCATAGTTTTCAAATTATTTCGGCGATGAGCATGGCAACAAAATCCGCACTATCCCAATATAGGCAACGGAGGTTTTAGCAATGATTACGGAACTCGCAGCAACAACACCAAGTAGACAGCTGTTCTGCAAGCAGGCAACATCGCCGTACAGTATGATGGGGATAGATATGCGGAAGGGTAGGAAGAGGCCTATTTTCTGTGTTGAAATTGGCCACGGAATGGCAGCAAGGCAGGCAGCGCATATGCAAGTTGCAACACAAACGGCGAGAACAAACAGCGGACGAAACTTGCAAATGTGTTCAAGAAGAGTTGTACCAGCTACCAACTGCGGAGCAATACATTAATTACTCGACACGCGAGCATCCTGCATATGACTCGTAATTCATGGCTGCAATTTTTGATAATGTTTATAAATTTGGATAGTGGACAGATTAATCAAGCTTTTCAGGATGGTAGAAAGGAGCAGCAGACTAACGACGATAACAGTCAGCAGAGAAATCCACGAAGCTGAAGTTCACAAGACTGACAACAATTCCGGGTCGGAGTCTAGTCTAGTTAGCCCTCAGATGGGAAACGAGCTCGAGTTTCGGAAAGTTCGAAGGAACATGCTCAATGTGCGGCTCTTGCCTCCTCTGCAGCTGGTGTCTTGCATGCCCTGCGACTTGGCGGTATCCGGGGTACGTAGGTCGGCGCTGCGAACCCAGGTCAGGGCCGGTCAGGGTGCTCAAGCTGGGGATAGCTCGTTATGCTTTGCATGCGCTGGCTCCCGCGTGGCCCGACATTCGGCGCTGGAGCCAATAATCATTTGATTACAGAGCAAGGCCCGACATTCCCAAAGCCATACTGGGTTCTGAACTCCGCATTGCCATGTTCTCAGGCGATGTGGAAGTCTCTTATGCGCTCCAGTCTCCTTGGGAGAAGACAGACAAGCAGCACGAGTCGATCACGCGACTCCTTGAGCAGACAGGACCTTGTTTGGACCAGGCTCTTGGAGGCTTCGGGAGATCAGCAGTCCAGTGTTGGTCCAGTTGCGACCGTCTCGTGTGGAGTGCCTGGCAGTGCCACCAGAGAACAGAGCTGTGGCCTCCGACATAGATGCAATCCTGTGTTGTAGGGGCTACGAATGCTCCGGCATTCAACCATTTTACCCCAAATCCGCTGTTACCGCTACTTCGGGGGCAGGAGCGCTTGGAGCGTGAGGACTGTAACAGGTCCCCCAGGCGCGGGGTAAGATAGAGACAAAGAGCTGGCCAGGAACCATGCCCATCTATGACGTGCACTTCCCCGGTACAGTGTACATTCGAGCCCGTCTGCTGCCACATGGTGAATGGTCGACCTGGGCAGAACTGCTGCTCGAGGATGAGGCCAGGGACACGGCCCTGCCTAAGCAATGTAACCTGACTGCGAGAGACCCTAAACCCCGCAAAGCTTCCGCCCCAAGAGTAACGCCGACATGCTTGTTGCATCTCAAGTGGTACAGGAGCCTCGCCCCGTCCGCCAAAGGCATCACAGCACAGCTTCAAAAAGCTTGTGCTCGAAGCCCCTAGTCTAAGAAGTCGCATCGTCTCCCCCCCCACCCCTGCGGGAGGACATTGGGGAGGAAGATCGGCTCCTGAGCCGCCTCGAGGGAGAGATGACGGTCGAGTCGGAGCATCATGCGGACTTCACAATGTCCATCCTGGATAAGGGCAATGGCAAGGCAGGCCCATCCTCTCTGCTCTAAGGTTTCTGCTTGCATCTCCGAAAAGGACCTCTAGATGGAGTCTTGTATAGTCCTGTAAGGCATGAAATTCTGTGAGAGTGTGTGCGGCACTGGGCACTGTACGTGGCGCAGCGATGCGAGTTTCTAACTGGCCTGGCCTTGATCAAAAAACCAGCCCCCAGACAAGACGTGAGTGCCTGCAAGGTGATGCTGTGCTGCCAGACGTGGCTGATTGACAGGCCGTGATTGTGGCTGGACTCCTAGAGACGTCATGATGATGCCCCGTACGAGTCGGGGCAATGTTGCAAAGTATCATCGGACGGCGGAGGTGGTGGTAGCAGTTTTGTCGACTGATTGTTGCAGGTGTCACTTGGATATGAGCGTCACTGCTGAGAAGAAGCCTTTGGTGGATGCTGGAGAGGGCCTCCACTTGTGTGGATCACTTGCTGGAAGCTCAGTGTTTTCCTGCCGTCGCTCATTGGGGGTTCGGACATCCTTTCGAGTCTGAGAAAGTGCTCTGACAGGGAACGAAGTACTGCTTGGAGCGGGACGGCAAGTTTGGCCCAAATTTTTCACTTCCGGCAGGCGCGTTGTTCGATAACGGCCGTACATCAATGTTTTGTCCCAACACTTGCTCTTGGTGCAGAGTCCATTCTGAGCTGGGATGCTTGTAAGCAGGCCTTGCAGACTGGACCGTGACATCTGCGCCGCTTGGATGCCTGCCGTTTTCAAGCTGTGTCTGCGCACTGAATTTCAGCGGTGATGTTTCAGTGTGGGTCAGTCAAGGCCGACAGGGCGAATGATGTGCATTCGTTCGACAGCGCTTCAAGGGCAGGAGGCCCGCGAGCAGCAGCGGTTAGTCACTTACAGTATCCACCCTCGGGATAGATATTCCGTTGGGCACAGAGACCCACATACAGTACTAAAGAGTCCTTCATTTTGGGCTACACGGGAGGCATTAGAAGTCTTGAAGGACTTCAAGACAAGTGGTCTCTCCGTCCTAGTGCGAGAAGCAAGTCGAGTTTCAAGCCCTGGCGCTTTGAGGACAACTTGGTCCGAGTTCTCGAGCTGCTGCCGCGTTACGTGGTGGTTAACGAGCTGCCCTTCGAGGTGGAGTTTAGGCCGGATCCTCTGAGCCCTCATCGCATGCAGAGGATCTACACAGTAATGCAGCGCATAGCTGCAATTCTAGTAGCATGCCAGATTTCCATTGTGGGAGACAGCCACCCTCACGCCCACTCCACTGCTGGAGCAAGTTCTAAAGTGATTGGGCTGCCGGACATGGAATGTTGCGCTGTGTCTCAGGGCCGGCACATTCGATGCAGGGGGCCCAGCTTGCCGGATGTTAACCCTCGCAAGAACCATATCCTTGGTAGAAACTCATGGCTTTTCTTTGAATTAGCTGGGCTTCGCTGGTGTCCTTTGAGTTCGCACCTTCTTGCTTTCAACAGGGCAGCCACGTACCTTCAGTTACTCAATACTTCCCTTTCAAGGTTTGCCCCGAGGACCTTGAGGCAAGGTATTCACAGGCAAGGGCTATGCCGCCAAACCACCCATGAAATAACAGATGTCACGAGGGAACAAGTTCGGAGTGCTTTCTGAGAATAACTTCAGCTTTCAAGGCAGCGGAAGCTGCGAGGTCCGGGTAGCTAGACGAGTTTTTTGGAGGAAACGGCACTGAGAACTCGTGCCGGCATGCGATCATTAACATCGGCTGTGAGTCTCAGGTCATTGTGGATGCGCGCAAGACCCTCATGCCTCGGTTCACGGTCGAAAGCCTGCAGTTCCGCGTCAGAGAGAGGACCCTGGTGATTACCTCATGCGGACTTCTGCGCCTAAAGTTGCGAGAATCATTCACAGGAGCATAGGGTAGCTTCCTTCTCGCCACAGAAGGCCCTTGCGCCTTCCATGCCCATACATACAGTATGATTTGCATCCAGGGACTCTTGGCCTGCGGACCATCTCAAGCCTTGTCTTGCGCTTAGAGCGAGGGCAGGTCACTTCCACGGTCAGGTGCGCCTGTGCCCGAACACCAACCGTTCGCATTCGCATGTAGGCAACACATAGCGACCACATCCACTTAAACCCGACTACAAAGTTCTTGTAACGCCGTAGAGTTTCTTTCTCGGGTGATTGCAGGCAAAGTCGCCTAATTACATTATCTATTGCATGCATGTATGAGTCCGTGAGTGAGCGAGAGAGACAGAGAGAGAGAGAGAGAGAGAGAGAGATGCGGGGCCCAAGTGTGTGACGTTCCCCTTCTGCTTCCTGTACCCGGGGACCCCGCACTGACACAGCATACGCCCACAAACCGTAGAGTACTGGCTCCTGACCCACAAACCTGTTGTCCAGGGACAAACCTGTAAGGACAAACCTGTAGGGGTTAGCTTTGCGTTGTGAATGGTCTGATACACAGGACAACGGGTTCAGCAACGGGCACCTACAGACAACACTTGCCCGGCCCTCGCAAAAGCGGGGACACTGCTGTCATCACCGACACTCGCACAGAGCCCGTCAAGGTCTACAAGGCAAGGAGTGGCTCGCGTGCGAGTGTTGGGGGTGACGGTCTTGTTTCACTCCAACGGACGAACGCGGACACGGGCGTAGCGCTTGCGCGCCGGGGATCAGGGGGTACCCCCTGTCCTCAAACGCCTAGCAAGCAAGCAAGCAAGAGAGATCACTACGCCCGGCAGAAAGAAAGAAAGAGAGAGCACGAGGGTGTGTGTGTGCGTGTGTATATGTGTCTCAGGTTAACATGGAATGGTTTTCCTTCCGAGTGCAAGCACTGCCGTGGCAGGACATCGACCTGGTCCTCAGAGATTCCTGTAACGGAGAACTCAGCAGGCGGGAGTTCGGGCCGCCTTGCAACTTCTTTTCGGATGAACCTTATGGAAGCTGTGCGGTCGTAGGGAGGGAGCCATCCTAGGGTCACGTGGGCACGAGCACTGGTGCTTCTCTTCTTTTCATCCGTAGATAGACTTCAGCTGCCGGTCTGCCTCGAGGCTGCTACAGCATCTTGCTTGGAGAAGAGTGTTACATCGTGGAGATCCGGTCCGACCATGGTGTCATGTACTTCATCGTCCGGGAGGGCAGAACCTCGACGATGCCAACATCGCACTTTTTCCCGCTCTTCTATTGTAGTCCTGCAAGCCCGGAAGATCGTTGCAGGTAAGAACGGAACCCCCCGAAACTGCCAGATCCGAGGCATGTTCCGACTGTCGAACAGCATTCCTCGTCAAGTTTGCGAGATTCACGTGCGCAACATGATCTTCCGCGCCCACCCTGGCGAAGCTTGTTTCTTCGCTTGGCTGGACCCATGATGCAGGGATTCTCAATGGCAGCTTTGGCAGGATGCAGTTGGATAGACTTGTCCCGGCGTGACCGGAGTCATTCTGGGCCCCGTGACGTAGATGCAAACGCTCAAGCACACGATCGGACAAGTATGCTGGAGCAAGGTAAGTCTCGAGTACAATGACACTTGATATTCCTCTGTATGCTCAACGACCATATGACAGAAGTCTCACCTGCAGCTGTGAGAATCGAGGGAGCCGACCTGGTCTAGACAGCTTTCAACCGCCTGCAGGATCCGTTTGATAAGGACAAGGAGCTCGAAGTGGCATGCTCAGTTCGCGGCAGTCTTGGGCCTTTACTTCGTTTATTTGCTACATGCAGTTAGCCTCAGATAGCTGTACGCCTACGGTAGGGATGTATCGGTTGAGGCCACCCGTGCGTAGTTCAACACTTCTCAGACATCTAACTTACTGCGACTCGTTGCATGCCCTTCCAGCTGCTGTGGCGGAGTGCCCTGGTGGTGGCGAACATGTTTTTTTGGGACGCTTGCGAGATGGTGATAGTTTACAAGACTTGTGCATGGGAAGTCTGGTTCGTTCACTGCATCACTTCGGAATGCGCGGGGGTCCAACTGCCATAGTTGTGATACCAAGTCTCGGAATCTCGACTCACTTGAGGTGGAACTGGTTATCGGGGACGATGACTTCAAGGTGTGGCGACCGACTCCTTCAACATGAGTCCAGCCATTCAAAAAGTGTTCATAATACACTGGCGCACGACCGAATCAGTCTTCATTTTCCAACCGAGACCTGCTCGGAAATGCCAGAGGCTGCTTTTGTGTGCCATTATCACAGAATCCAAGCTGTGCCCTGATTGTGCCGTACTTCGGTTCTAGATTCTAGACTGTTTCGGTGGGCAGAAGGTTAAGCGGCCATTTGCTTAGTGAGACGTTCGGCAAGACCTAACACATAGCAACGTGCCCTGCATTTTGTCGTCCACTTTTTCAAGGCCTCAGGCGAAGTGGACAGAACGGCCCTGATTTCGTCAGCCAGACCTACTCGAGGGTCAAGTAGATGATTGGTATTTGGCAAAAGTTTCGCAGTGATTGCATCCGATCTGTTTGCAGCACATACAAAGTCGAAGGATCTCTAGCGTCGCCGCTCTTTTTCCTGGCCTCTTGAAGCGGGCAGTTGCATCACAAGGCATCTCTAGGTCCGATCACGCTCCCGTCCAGCTTCGGACAGAGCCTCGACCGATAACGTGACTAGCAAGCAGGATGCGATGGCAAAGGGTACTAACAGCACGAGGAAGAAACAGTGACAACTGAACAAACAATACTTCGAACAGCCTGCAAGGCATAATCGCAACCCACAGTGGCAGCAGTGGAAGTAGCACCGTGCATCTGAAATACACTCTCCAAGCCGTACACATGCATGTCCTTTTTCAGGTGGATCCTCGAACAGCTTACCGAAAGAAGCTTCGCGGTGGCCTGGAGCTTTACAGCCACTCGGAAATTTGCTGAAATTAGGGAGTCATCATTGCCTATTGCTAGTAGTGTGTATGGTTTTTGTCTGATTGTGATTTAAGCACTCGTGATTGTTTGCTATTATTGCGGCTACCTTAATAATTGTCAATATTGTGATTATGATGATTAGTCGCTAGCAGCAGCAGTAGTGGCGGTGGTGGTGCTAATGGTGGAGGTGGTGGTGGTGGTGGTCGAAGTTGTAGTTGTCGTTGCAGTCGTACTGTAGTGTTAGTGGTGGCAAGGTAGTAGTAGTAGTGGTGGTGGTGGTGGTGGTGGTGGTGGTGGTAGTAGTAGTCGTCGTGGTGGTGGTGGTGGTGGTGGTAGTAGTAGTAGTGGTGGTGGTAGTGGTAGTGGTAGTAGCGGTCTTGGTCGTGGCCGTGGTCGTGGTAGCAACAAATACGGGAGCAGAAGGACGAGGAGTAGTAAGTAGTAGTCATCGTCACAGCCAGTCAGTTGCAATATGCGTAGCTGTGAGCTGGCATGCCAAAGGATCCATTAGCAGCAGCAGCATCAGAAAGTCAGGCCAACTGCGGGAGTTTGAAGGCTGTTTGTGCTTTCCGATTGTTTCATGCATTGGCTCTGCAGCTGTACCGGCGGACAGCCGCAGACCACAGGCACGTTCGACAAGGACCATACGAACTTGGAAGTGAGGATGCGCAGCGAGACGTGCCTCGGTTCTTGAATATAAGTGCCACAGCACAAGATCTTTTCCACTATAGAACATGATCTAGAATCTAGAGTCTCTTCAGTCCTTCAAGGACGGCCTGAGTCAACGCCTGAAATGCGATCAGATGAATATCCGGGCTACAGAAAATAGAGATTCCTCCAACCATCTAGCACCTTCCTTGCCGACCACCCAAGCTGGACACCGCCAGGGAGAGTACGGCGAAAACTGTGCTGGATGTGATTCTGCCGCGGATTGGCGTGTCATTGGTCGGCCGCGTGCAGAGCAGGCTTGAACTACAAAAACTGTCTCGAAGATTTTTCAGTTTTGTGCCATGCAGTTTTGGTCTTGTCGTACGATACTACACTTGCTGTGCTCCGCATTCGCGTTCTCTTTTGAATTCCGGAGGAGGTATTTCGTCCTACCATCTATGGCTTGAGGCTTGACTGAGCTCGGCAGGGTTTGAGGCCAACTGAGCTCGGAGGACGAGGGTTAACTTAGGTCCCACAGTTTGCTTTCAGAACTATGTCATGTCAGACTTCGAAGCACCATGGCTAAAGCGGCTAAAGAGATGTACTGCTCCTTCTTGTGCCACGTCACCTTTTCGGTTGCTTCATGGCAAAAGGAGGCTCAAATGTTGGGTTGACGATGTAATACAATGCCTCATTGAATTTTTGTTCAGGTATCGAGCCAGCTTGTGACAAGAGATAGCCTCCGTGTGCTAACTAGCCCTCCAAGCCTTCTCGAATGGCAGCGTCGAGTGCATTCTGAGTGGTAAGCCCCCCGGCTGGCTGCGAACTGCTACGGAAAGTATGACCCACTTCCTTGCAGGGTCACGTGTGCCGAGCTGGTCTACATGGAAATGGCGCTACTGCACCTCGAAGCAGAGGGCCTTTCTCAACAAGCATTTGTCTGGATAATTTACCATGTCCTTCCGCATGGGGGTGAGATCTTACATCTGAGAGTAATGCCAAACTAATTTTTAACGCTACGCCGCCCGCCTCGG